AAATTAAATCGCAAAAAATTGAATGAATCAGATTTTTTTAATCAATCATTTAAAACTAAATCAAATCACAAATAAATATATTTTTAAATTAGATGATATTTTACTTCAAAACCGATTTAAACCTAACTAGGGTTCCATAGATAATGGTGGTTTTGAAATTGCAGTAGAAGGTGGAAGGATTGTCGGTACAGATTGTGGAAGTTCATGGACACGATAATTCGGTGGCTGATAACTATAATTTTTATAAGATTTTTTTATATATATATTATTTAATAGGAGACTTTTATGATGATCGAAAAATAAAGTCTATACTTGTTTTCGACTTTTTTAGGTTTGAAAAGAAGTCATAAAAACTCTTTTGACAAAATCATAAGTACTAGTGTTTTAGAAACCACCCCACAATCTCTTTGATAATGTTTCAGTTAATTTACCACAAACAAATTGTGGGATGTGCACTCTTTCCTAACTATAGTCTCGTCAATGGAATGTGCTCATTTTGCAAGGAAAATCTGACTTAACCTAACTCACAAAAATGTATTTTACATTAATTATAAATTCAAAACTATTTGCGCGTGAATGGGATATCGTGTAGAAAATTAAATAGTTGTTTAATTTTTAGTATTATCTTGACATTATTTTTTTACATAATTATATCCGACATTTTCTATTTATACAGTGAATACTATTTTAAGTAAAAAAATTACAAAAAATTTATTTATAAATATATTTTAAAACTTATTTTATAATACAAAAATATATGTTATAAACCACTTATTTTAATTATGATTCATTAACCATTTTTTCTAATATAAAATACGTTAACAAATATTCACATTCCATTAATCAATTTTATTTTATTATTTAATTTTTATTTTTAGAACTTGTTTAAAGAATCATAAAATATATAACCAACTTTATATGTATCATTAATCAAAATTGATTTATCATATAAAACTAATTTTTCTGACAATGCACTCAATAATTAAAGTATGAACTATTTTAATCAATTTATTATATTTAAATAAATAATTTTACTTTTAAACACATGTTAACTAAGTTATAAATTATATTAATCAAATATTTATATACTATTAACTACTATTAACTAATGTTATTTTAAAAAGAGAAAAAAATGTGAAGAAGTCAAATTATAATGCTCACTATTCACTCTTTGAGTAAGGTGAGAGACACATCCTTTTAGAAGCTCAAATTTGGCTGAAGGAAATGGACAATGTTTTAAAGGTAGTGTTCTGTACAAAAGAAGAAAAAATTACTATTCATACACACATGTTAAGATTTGCAAATGAGACATAATAGGAAATGGAAGTTTCTTTATAACCTCCAGAAATTCGCCTACAGATCAGGGATATATTTAGATGGTCTTTCTTGAAAATGTTGAAGTGTAATTCAAATTCACATTTAAGTTGTATTTAGATTTAATTTGAATTTCATTAAGTTGTTCTAATGGTATAAGTATTGAATTTAAATTTTAGTTGTAATAGAATTTTCATTGTAACAGTTTTCAGTTAGAGAGTAAAAGTTAGTTACTCAATTTTTTCTCTCTTCCATCTTCTTCATCTTTAACTTTGTGCACCAACAATTGGTATATAGAGCTCCAGTTTTGATTCAGGAACGAGAAACACGAGTATACATGTGGCGTGTGTGATTGATTATGTTCATTCAATTCATAGTAAATTAAAGACCAGAATCAAAAAAGAATCACATTTCTTAATTCTGAGGGATTAGGAAACACAAGTGTTAGTGAGATTTGAGTGAATTTGCACAAGAGTGAAGATGAACGGCAAAAACGGTAGCTTGAACACAAAGCTTCCAGTATTTGGTGGAAAGAATTGGAATTAGTGGATGATTCAAATGCATGTTATATTTGAAGCTTAAGATTTTCTTGATCTCGTCAATGACGGCTACACGTCGGTTGTAGAAAATGCAACAGAAGTGCAGAGAAATACGGAACGTGAAACGGGAAAGAAAGATCAGAATGAGTTGTTCTATATGCATCATTGTGCAGATCCGAATGTGTTTGAGAATATCATTGATTCAACGACGGTGAAGGTTGCGTGGGACACACTGGTACGGTGCTACGGCGATCATGCATCAGTGAAGAAGGTGAATCTTCAGTCTCTGCATAAGCAATATGAGAATCTCAACATGATGAACAATGAGAAGGTACCTGATTACATCTCCATTATGGTTTTGATCACAAATGAGATAAAATCTTATGGAGAAACTCTCTTTGAACAAGTAATCATTGAAAAGGTATTGAGATCACTTACTCCTCAGTTTGATTACATTATTGTAGCAATTAAACACCCTAATGACCTCAGGACCATGAGAATTGAAAATTTGCAGAGTAATCTAGAGACGCACGGGTTGTGTTTGACTAAGAGAAACTCTAAAAGAGAGGTAAAGCAAGCTCTGAAAGCGTCTTCTGGTAAGAAGAATCAGAAGCAGTCTTGGTCAGAGGCCAAAAAGAGACATGGTGGTGGTTATCAAAAGTCACAAGTCTCTAACTCTAATGAAAAGAAACATCGGAAAGGAAAGGAGAAGTTTAACAATAAGAAGGTTCAATGTTACTGTTGTAAGAAGTTTGGTCACTTTGGTGCTAACGGTTGGTCAAACAAGGAAAGGAAATCAGAAGAAGCATACATAGTCTGAGAAGAGTCTGATGATGAACTTGTGCTATTGATGGCTTCTGAATCTAATGGTGGATATTTGATAGACCGGTGGTATATGGACATTGTCACCTCAAATCACCTAACTAGAAACAAACAATGGTTGATTGAATTTTAATCTAGAAAGAGGACAAAGATTAGATGTACTGAAGATAAGTACCTTAATGTTGAAAGAATGGGAAATGTTAAAGTTAGAGTAATGAATGGAAAAACTGTTCTGATCAAGGATGTTTGGTATGTTCCTGAAATGAAGAGAAATTTGATGAATGTAGGTTATCTAATTGAGAAAGGTTTCTCAATTACTATAAAAGACAGTCTCTTGAAGTTGTATGATTCTGATTAGAAGTTGATTATGCAATCTTAACAGAGAAGCAAAAAAATGTTCAAGGTAAATGTGGAAACAGCTGAAACTAAATGTCGTAGTGCAAAAGGTGTTGTAAGTGATAGTGAGTTGTGGCACAAGAGATTGGGGCATCTGAACTTATAAGCTTAAGGCATCTAAGTTCTAAGACGCCGCTACATGGCATTCCTAAGATTGTGAAGCCTGAGAAGTCACGTCATTCTTTTGGGATTCATCTCATAAAATAGGGATGATGTTGTTGTTGTTGTTGTATTTAGAAGCTTGTAAAAGTTCTCTATGATGGTTTGCTAGTGCAGAAAAACATTTTTCAATAGAAGTTGGATGCATTTAATGTTGGGATCAGATAACTCTTAAAAATTGGATGCGTGCAGTATTTGGACCAGATAACTTCTTACATTAAAATTCTAATTTTGCTATATTATATTTTTTCAATATTTTGATTAAACAATGTAATTAAAAAATATGTTCACCGCGGTTTTTATAGAAATCGAGGGGATAACTTAGCATTCTTAAGCAAATCTTTGTCGTTCAGATAACTCTTAAAAATTGGATGCCTTAAGCTTATAAGTTCAGATGCCCCAATCTCTTGTGCCACAACTCACTATCACTTACAACACCTTTTGGGATTCATCTCATAAAATAGGGATGATGTTGTTGTTGTTGTTGTATTTAGAAGCTTGTAAAAGTTCTCTATGATGGTTTGCTAGTGCAGAAAAACATTTTTCAATAGAAGTTGGATGCATTTAATGTTGGGATCAGATAACTCTTAAAAATTGGATGCGTGCAGTATTTGGACCAGATAACTTCTTACATTAAAATTCTAATTTTGCTATATTATATTTTTTCAATATTTTGATTAAACAATGTAATTAAAAAATATGTTCACCGCGGTTTTTATAGAAATCGAGGGGATAACTTAGCATTCTTAAGCAAATCTTTGTCGTTCATTTCAAGATTATCAATGCTCAAGAAACTATCATTAGTGATCCACGTGATTCTTAAAAAAATTTCATTATAAAGACTTTCTAATATCTAAAATTGATAAAGAAACGTCATGAAGCGATTGAAACTATCTATATCCTCAACTTTAACTTTTGTCATTAGCGATGAATTGCAAGTGTAGAAAATTATTCGGGTTTAAGGTTTGTGTTCTTAAATAATCATATAATTTAATATTTATTTTATTTAGCTAACCCTTTTTTTGTTATAAAAATAAATGAATGCAAAAGCAATAGAAAATATATTGCATTTAACATTTGTTCTTTCTCAAGATCAGTGAAACGAGGATCTCCAACGTTTTCTCTTCTCCAAAATATCTAACATTTGTTCTTCACCGACAACGATGATGATGAAGAACAACATTAAAATACAGATGTTGGGATTCGAACCCATGATCATATAGTTTTACCCATCAACTTTTTATTAACCGAGATGTTAAATGGAAACTTTTTATGTCACTGGTTGTTACGTTGGCTTAATAGCCAAAGTTATATCTTTTTCGCGTGCGACGTTATAAGCATTATTTGTAGTAGTGATATATATATATATATATATATATATATATATATATATATATATATATATATATATATATATATATATATATATATATATATATTACAAATTAAAAAGTAGGAATAAATTTTTATTAAAAAAATAAAGATATAAATAAAAAATAATAATATATTAAAAATTACAACCTCAAAAACTATTTTAAATAATTTTTGAAAAAAAAAACAAACTATAAGTTAGTATAAAAAACCTACAAGATAAAAACTAAACAATACTTATTAAACAAGATTTTTTATTGAAATAGCTGAAAAGCTAACAAAATTTATTAAAAGTTAAAAGTTTAATTTTTTTTCTCTTACCAAAGAGACTCTTAACAATAAAAAAGAAAAAAGAAGGAAAAAAAAGAACATGAGATGCCTATTTAAGTCGTGTTTGGCATGGTGGAGTCATGGTTGTACTCACCTACAACTTCATCTCCACTTGAGTTAAATATGGGTAGAAATTACCAAAGTGTTTCTTTTGCTATTGTTTCCCTTTTTTGTTCATATTTCATGCTACTATGTTCATCTTTTGGCTGCATGCAACATGAGAGAGAAGCTCTTGTTGAACTCAAATTAAGCTTTAATGATCCTTCGTTTAGACTTTCCTCTTGGGAAGGAAATGATTGTTGCAAATGGAAAGGTATCAGTTGCAACAACATTACAGGACATGTTGCCAAGATTGACCTTAGGAATCCATGCTATCCACCAATAGGAGAAGATTATCCATCAAACTGTTCCTTCTCAAAATCTAAGCTTGAAGCTCAACACCTTCATCCTTCTTTTTCAAATTTCAAATATCTCACCTATTTGGACCTTAGTGGAAACAATTTCAATTCAAGTCCAATACCATCGTTTCTCAATTTTATGAGTCAGTTAGAGTTCCTTTCTCTCTCTGATTCCCATTTTATTGGCATGATCCCAAACTTCCTTGGAAACCTCACTAAATTGACCTTTCTTGATCTCAGTTATAATTCTTGGTTATACTCCGATGACATCTATTGGGTTTCAAAACTTTCATTGCTCCGAAACCTTTACCTGAATGATGTTTTTCTTGGCAGGGCAGAAAATTTATACTTGTCACTTAACATGATTCCTTCTTTGTTAGAATTAGACTTCACCAACTGCAGCTTAACCAAGATATCCAGCAGTGATGATCAACTTGTCAGTTATACAAATCTTTCTAGCATTGAGTTTCTCAGTGTCGCGGAGAATGGACTTGATGGTCCAGATCTGAATGCTTTTAGAAACTCCACTTCAATCATGTTTATTGACCTTTCCAACAATAATCTTAGTTCAGTTCCATTTTGGTTAGGCAATTGTGCCAAACTTGGCTCTCTTTATCTTGGAAACAATGCTCTTGGCTCAATTCCACCAGCTCTGCGAAATTTGACTTCCTTGACGTTGCTTGACATTCCTCAAAACAATATTGAATCTGTTTCAATATGGTTAGGAGGGTTGGAGGGTATTTTGTATCTCAATCTGTCATTGAACCATATTCAGGATTCTATACCATCAATAATTGGAAATATGTGTCATCTTCTGTCACTAGATTTGTCAGGAAATGGACTTCAAGGAGATAGACTTGTCGGCAACTTACAATCTGCAAGATGCATTGGATATGATTTAAAGGAACTGGATTTGTACAACAATAGTTTCAATGATCAGCTGCCAACATGGTTGGGGCAGCTTGAGAATCTGGTGATCCTTAAACTTCAATCAAGTTTTTTCCATGGTCCTATTCCAAATATTTGGGGAAACTTGTCTAACTTGAAATCTTTAGACTTTGCTAACAATCACTTGAATGGTTCTATTCCAAACTCCCTTGGGAAACTGAGGAGTCTAAGTTACTTGGACATGTCTAACAATAGCTTGTTTGGGGGTCTTCCTTGCAGTCTAACAGCACTAGCAAATCTAGAGTATTTGATTCTCAACAATAATAATTTGACAGGGTCTCTTCCAAATTGTATTGGACAATTTGTCAATCTAAAAATGTTGATGATTTCCTCCAATCATTTTTATGGTATCATTCCTAGGAGTATTGAGCAAATAGGGACCCTGGATTACCTTGAAATGTCAGATAACTCTTTGAGTGGAACAATCCCACAGAATATTGGTCAACTTTCAAACTTGCACACCCTCTATCTTTGTAAAAATAACTTGACAGGGATATTTCCTCATAGTTTTGGTCAACTCATAAACCTGCGCAATTTAGATGTGTCTCTCAACAATCTTGAAGGTGTGTTTTCTAAAATAAAATTTCCCAAGTCACTTGTCTATATGAACCTCACCAATAACCATATCACTGGGTCACTTCCCCAAAATATTGCTCAAAGATTGCCCAATCTTACTAATTTTCTTCTTGGAGGGAACCTTATATATGATTTCATTCCAAATTCATTGTGCCAAATAAACTCTTTGTACAATCTTGACCTTTCAAACAACAATTTAGTTGGAAATATTCCTGACAGCTGGAGTTCAACTCAAAGATTGAGTGAGATTAACCTATCATCTAACAAATTATCAGGAATTATTCCAAGCACGTTTGGTGACCTCTCCACTTTGGCATGGTTACATTTGAATAATAACAGTCTTCATGGGGAGATTCCATCATTCTTGAAGAATTTAAAGCAACTGTTAATCTTGGATATTGGAGATAATCAAATGTCAGGGAATATACCTTCATGGATTGGAGACATCTTCTCCTCACTCCAAATTTTGAGGTTAACACAAAACAAGTTCCAAGGTTACATTCCATCACAACTTTGCAAACTTTCAGCTTTGCAAATCTTGGACCTTTCCAACAACATGTTGATAGGTCCAATACCTCAATGCATTGGCAATCTTACATCAATGATTCAAGGAAGAAAATCATCGGTTCTTTTATCTCCAGAAGATCCAAAGTATTTGGAATGGTATGAACAAGATGTAAGCCAGATCATTAAAGGAAGAGAAAATCATTATACAAGAAATCTGAAACTAGTGGCCAATGTGGATTTATCAAACAACAATTTGAGTGGACCTATTCCTAGAGGAATAACTCTTCTTACTGCTTTACAAGGCTTAAATCTCTCACACAATCATTTATCAGGAAAAATTCCAATAACCATAGGGGACATGATGTCACTTGAATCTTTGGACCTTTCACATGATCAACTTTCAGGTCCAATTCCATACACCATGTCTAGCTTAACTTTCCTAAGTCACCTAAACATGTCCTACAACAATCTTTCAGGACCAATTCCACAATCAAACCAATTGTCAACACTTAATGATGATTCATATATTTATGTTGGCAACAAATTTCTTTGTGGTGCACCACTGTTGAATCACTGTGATGCTGATAATAGAGATGATCATGATGATGGTGATGGTAAACCTGATAGGGTTGAGAAATTGTGGTTTTACTTTGTGGTATTACTTGGATTTGGTAGTGGATTTTGGACTGTGATTGGAGTTTTTTTATTGAAGAAGGATTGGAGGCATGCTTACTTTAGTTGCATTGATAAGGTGGTGCTTAGGATAAAAGTGGCATTCGGAATAGAGTTAGCAAAGTTAAAGAAAACATGTAGGGGAAACCATGTTGATTAGTATAAGTTTCCTAATTATCATAGATGCAAAAATTCAAACAAAAATCATTAAATCAATTACGGTTGAAGTTGCTTTACCAACCAATTTAAATTTAAATTCATAAATTTAGAGTCAAAGCATAAATTTGAAGATGAATATTCGTCAAATTAAATGCATCACAGACTTATACTTATATAATAAAACACTAAAAAAAAATTTAATTCTAGATGACATTTTAATTATGAATTATACCTAACATTATAATTCAGAAAATTAAAGAGATGAGAATAAAAAAATGTATGCAGGAAATATATTGCTTCGACAATTCGTTCTTGTTATGGCTAATTCACTCCTCGATGATTTTTACCATCGAAAAGAGTAACGTCTTCTACTATGATTAAAGTTAAAGATACAAGTATTTTGATGCAATGAATTATTATCAAATCGGACACTAACAACTCAACGCCTTAGCTAGTACGGATCTAAAATAATAATTCTTCCTATTGATGCATATTACTCAACGGCTAACATTCAAGATCTTTAATGATCTTATTCCTCCAAACTTGATAGACCTGGTAACCTGATCCAAAGACTTGTCTGAACGATTGTTCTATCACTGAATGAGGACAACTCCCAACTTTATTTTGCAGAAACCTTTACTCGAATCCACCAAAGTCTTCCCATGAGAAATAAAGAAAAATATTCTCTTGCATGATAAGCACCAATAGGGGTGTGCAAAATAACCAATAACCATAACCCAAATTCTTATCCAAATTAATCCAAATTTTAAAATTCAAACCAAATTTATATTTTAAATTTGGTGACCCATTTATTAAATTAAAAAAAAACGGTAACAATTTGTTCCAAACCGGTTTGAGATTTGGTAACCATTTTTTCATGAATAGTTTGGAAAAATCAAGATCAACATAAATTTCAAAAACCTTAATCCTCACAATCCAAATTTTATTCATCTCTTTCTTCTTCATCATTCTTTAAATTTCAAACCTTAATCTCATTTGTATCTTAATTCTCTAAAACACAATCATGGGTTTATCGAAACTTTTTTTTGTTTATGTTTGTTTAGAACTTATACTACCTGAAACATCATATGCCTCTGTTATCAATGTTGAACCATCATATGTCTTTTCTACTTAAAACTTATACTACCTGATTTCTTTCAAGCTAGTTGATTGTGCAAAATAATAGAGCTGAATCAAATTCAAGTCATATATCAATATAAGAGCTTTTTGTACTAGGTAGTATTTGTTCTTATTTTAATAATGAATTATGGCTTATGATTAAAGAGAATACACTGCAATTTTTTACATTTTATTATGTTCATATGCATTCACATTTATAATAATATAGGCCTCACTAACAAGATAAATATCGCCACATGATGAATTTTGTATAAGGTTAGCCTTTGACAGAATGCTGATTGTCTCAATAAAATAACCTCTCCACAAGTTACATGGGAAATAAATATTTCTTTGTTAATGAAGTTTGTTTATATAGTAATATTTCTTTGTTAATGAAATTTGTTAAAGAAAATAAAAAAACTGGTTTTGAGAGAAACCGGTTTAAAACAGGTTTTTAAAAAAACTGTTTTTTTCTTTAAAAATCGGTTTGAAACCAAACCGATCCACTTATAAACCGGTTTTTAAAAAATAAACCGGTTTTATATAAATGGTTTTAAGATCCAAACCAAACCATATATGTGGTTTGGTTTGGTTTGGTTTATAATCCATGCACACCCCTAAGCATCAACCAACAATGTGAACAAGAAACAACTATTTCACTACAAGAAAAAAAAACTTTTTACACCGTTTTGTTTTCCTGTTACAGCAGTTCGAACCGCCGCAATGTTTGAGTTGCAACAATTTTTGTTCTGCCATGAAAGCGTATGTCGCCAGCCAGCACGATTTGTGACGGTTTGGAACACCGCCACTCCAAGCGTCGTTACTATTAGGAAGACAATTGTTATTTGTGACGACAATTGGTCTGCACCTTTTCTACTCAATGCAAAGTATTCAACTGCTCGTTGTTGTATTTCAACTTCAATTGAGGTTTCATATCTAAAAGGATGAGAATGGCTTAGAAAATCCTATGGCATCATAAAAACAACCAACAGTCACAGTGGAAAATTGAACATCATAGATATATGTAACTTTATAAATATTGCCCATATTTGATTCTGCAGTTCAAGGTCTATACGTATTTACTTCGCCCATGACACACAGGATGATTTGTCAGGTCGATAGTTGACTTGATGTCGCCAAACAACTTCATTTTCTTAGGTTATGTGATCTTGAGTTCTTTGAGTAGCATCTCTATCCATGATGATTGATATGTTGCATATGGTGCAACCACGTATTCAGCTTCACAAGATGAAAAAGACACAATGCTTTGTTTTCTTGAGCTCTAAGAGATTGAAGCACCTTTAATCATGAATATGTAGCCTGCAGTACTCTTTTTCTCGTATTGATCTCCACTAAAGTATGACGCTTCAGAGTCTGGATCTTCAAATGTTGACATCATTCAGAGACTGACGGTATTCAGAGACTGCTCTTTAGCTTCTGATCTTCCATAATCTGGACCTTTATTTTCTCTTTAAATGTCCATTCTCAGTACCAGTACTAGGTTTTCTTCAAAAAAAATAGTTTATGGTCCTGCACACTTGAATGTTTGTTAGTATACCCTATTGGTTTTTAAATATTTTGTTATTACAAAAACCTTATAAATATAGTACAAACCAATTTTGTTCAAACATCATCTGCTCTCCCTTGTCATCAAGCTTCTTTTTAGATTGACTATGGGAATATTCAACACATCCTTTATCAAAGAACGTTTATTATCCCTTCTCTCAATTTATATGTCACAGTTCCCTTCCGTCACTAAAGTGGTATCATCCACGAACTTCACCTTATACTTCATGGAACGATTGATTGTAAAATCAATCTTTTCTTTCCGCCATATGCGTTGAACATCCGAAGTCTAGATACCATTGATCATTGCACTGTACAACCTCTTTCATAGTCACCATGGCTTTTTCTTCTGTCTGCAATCGGTTACAGTCTGTTGGTAATCGGTTATAGCTCATTTTCCCATCCTGTTGTAGCCTCTTACAACTGTCTTGTGACATGCTGTTGTTGTATTCTACTTTAGTGATCATCATCAAGAGAGGGTGTTCTCATCATCACACTCTTTCCTTGTAACTTTTTAGCTTCATCTTCTTGAGATTCTTTCTTGTTGGCACTGCACTCTCTTGCAAAAGGACCATACTTTTGATGATTAAAGCATTGCACACTGATTTTGTCTCCTTACTTACTTCATCCTCTTCCTCTAATGTGGCCACCTCTAGAGTTGTATGATCCACCAGTTCTATTGCCACTACTTTCACTCTTTTAGAATGTTGAATTTTTGGAACTTTGGGATTCTCTTCCACCAAAATTCTGAAAGTTTCCTCTACCTTTGTTCATGGGCCACTTTCCATTCGTCTTCTTGTCTTTTTCATTTAAACTTCTTGCAAAGCAATCTCCGCCTTTACCTTATCAACATTCCTTTCCTCCATTCTCTACTCATGAACTTCAAGAGAGATTTGTAGCTCCTCCTTACTTGTTGTCGCAAGATCCTTCGATTCCTCAATCGCAACTGCTACACTGTTAACTCTTGACGTCAAAGAACACAAGATTTTGGCCACCACATACTGCTCTGTGATTGTTTCTCTGCACATTATTACTTGATTTACCAATATTGCAACTCTCGTAGTAAATTAAATTATGATTTTCTTCTCCTCCATTTGAATTAATTACATATGCATTTTGTGAGTTTGTAACCTCACCATCTTTACCTTATCAGCTCCTGCATAACTCTTCTCCAAGATTTCCCAAGTTTTCTTTGAGTATGTACGATCACTAACTTTCTCAAAGTTGTCGGTATCAACACATTGATCAATGAAGTACAACGCCTTGCAATCTTTTGTCTTCTATTCCTTTACAAGGTCCTTTATGAAATTGTTGCCCCTTCTACAAGTGGAGTGACAACGTTCTTGATCACTTCAAGAACATTTTGATAACCAAACAACACATTCATTTGCTTGCACCACTTGTCGTAACTCTTTGCATCGAAAATTGGGAGATTCGCAAGGATACATTTATTAGAGATGAAAATATTTTCGCACACTAAGTGTTAGATGGATCGAACCAGGCTCTTGATAACAAATGTTAAAACAAGAAACCACACGAGTTGTGATTTTTAATATGGAGAGAGAGAGAGAGAGAGAGAGAGAGAGAGAGAGAGTGCGTGTGTTGTGTGCGTGTGTGTGTGATATTATTAGTGACATAACCAAAAATATATGTACAATTATATTGAGTGAGGTACAAGTAACAAACTAAAAATTAACAAATTCTACAATTATAACTTATTACAAATAGAGTGTAACTGATTATTCAACGGTAATCGAATACAAATAAGGTATAACTTATTAAGCTAACATTCTTTTTTTTTTAAAAGGATGCAATTGATTACACTTTTTCACTTAACATTAATTAACTGTAGAAATATCAAAATATAAATTAATTTGAATAATATAAATATTATGAAAATGAAACAAAAGAATAATTAAAATTGATTTACAATAAAATATGTATACAACGATACAAATATTTTTCTATTGTTATATATCTTATTTTAACTCATGTGAATAATCAATTCATTTTTTATTTAGTTTTATTCTAAAATATATATTTTGTGTTGTTTCTTTATATAAAAGACTTTAATTGAGTTTTAGCTTTAGATCTCATAATATGTTGGATCTGCCTAGGACTGGCAATGAACCAAACCAACTCGAAGATAGTTCGGAATTCGACTCGATAATTAAATCGTTGAACTAGGTTCATGAACCAAATGAGTTGAGTATGAGCGAAAAATTAAGTTCGTTAACTAAATGAGCTGAACTTGAACTATACATAGTTCGACTCGTTAGGTTCATGAGTCAACTCGATTACATATGAAAAGAATTA